AACAACCACAATTTTTTTTTTTTTTTTTTTTTGTCTTTTTCCATGTCCGGCAACGGATCGCAACCCTCAGTGTCGTCCCCGTACCGGACCGGGGACCGGCAACGGGATCGCAACCCTCGGCGTTGCCCCTGTGCCTCGCTCAGCCAGTGAGCGGGAACCGGTCTGCATGTGGGATCTGAACCCTTGGTGGGAGCGCCGCCGCACTTCCCAAGCGGCGCACTAGCGCAGTGCGCCACCGGGCTGGCCCACAATTATTTTTTTATTTTATTTTATTTTTTTGAAGTTCTTACAACAAGCAAATGGAGGGGACACACTTGGGTGGGAGGGGGGAGAGGGAGGAGGGAGGGAGGTTTCGGTGATGGGACATAATAATCAACTACATTGTATATTGACAAAATAAAAATAATAAAAATAATAAAAAATAAATAAATATTTATCCTAGTAGATAATAGTCAAGTGGGCAAAGGTCCATCACCATAATTAATCAAATAGGGTTACTAAAATTTTTTAAAAAGTGGGTTACCCTTAAACCAAGAATAATTATAAATTTAATTCATGAGATCTTCAGTTGCAAGTTCTTTTTTGCTAGCAGACTTGCAGTAGGTGACTTTCTTCTCCAAAGGTATTTGGTATACAGAGTTAAAGGTCTGATTAATCGAGGAGCAGTCAGTCATTTATTTAGAGATGTGTAGTCTGATCTCATTGTACTTTTCTAAGAAGGATAATTAAGAAAAAAAGTTGAGACCCTCACAAAAGTTCTACAAAGAACTGCAGGCAAAATGGGGGGGTTACACTTTAAAATGTAAGTTATATCTCATTAAATTGAAGACGACTGTAATTTTTTCTCCAAGCAGAAGAGTTTTTAGCCTAGTTAATTATTCACTTATTTCAAATGATATTTGATAACACACTTGAAACACAGTTTGTAAGGAAAAGTTCACATGAGTGAATAAAGAATAAATGAATGAATAAAATAGCAAATTTCTATTAATAAATTCATTGTGATTCAAACTTCAATTTGCCAGGGATGTTCTTGAAACGGGATAGAATAATGAACAAAACACTTTACTTTCTCAAGAAGAAGTACAGAATAAAAAAACCATGCTCTTTCCTTTAAGTTCAAAAAATTCAGAAGTCCATATAAAAGGATGCCTTGCATAATCAAGTTTTATGTAAGGATATCAATATGCCAATACCATTATGCTGGAGAGAACAATAACAATCATTGAAAACCTCAGATAGAAAAATCGTATGGGCACAAATGGAAGCTCTTTCCATCTGCATGGACGTAATGGGAATATTCCCCAGCTTTCTTATGCACACACTGAGAAATAGAGAATACCAATTACATGCACAGTGAAATAGCAAAGGAGAGAGGAACTTGACCAGAACCAAGGTCCTTATTGAGAGGCACCATGATCCTTCTGTTGAATCATGTCTCTGCCTAGAGGCCTATGTGGCAGCTGCTTTATTTGGCCCACACAGTGATTTTAAATTTTTGAATGAGTGAACAAAAATCAAAATTTCTTCTCGCTTTTGAAAATTCTGACGAACTGGCAACACCGGGTTCATATTCCAAAAGGCCTTAGACAAAGTAGTGGCCAGACTTTTAGTTGGGGCATGCACCTTTTGGTTGGCCATCATCCCTATCATTTGCTAATATTTGACACCAAGTTGACGTTTTTAGGAAAACTGTCTGGTACACATAGAAATTTAAGTTTCTCAAACCTGCCACCAATGTGAGAGTAGAGTTAGTGACATGAATCTCTGTGTTGAGGATAAAAAATAAAAAAAATTTGGAGTAGAAAAACTGCAAATAAAAGTATTTTGACATATTTTAAAAGTTATCATTTTCTGGGGCAAACACTCTACAGTTAATGTTTATCTACTTAAGTAAAAACAATCCATGCCTATCAGCTCTAAATATATATCTTTTGTAGTATATGACATAACATAAACAGTACAAATGCATATAAATTTTGTTTAAAGCTGCAAGTTTCTACTGCAGCATTTATGTGCTATTGCTAAATAGAATTGTAATTGCTACACGAGTTTGGTATGTTGGTGTCAATGCATCAATTTTACTGCCTCACGGTTGCTGTAACTTACATAAAATATGTCTTAAAATATTCCAAGATTTTACTCTCATCATTTACTCTGCTTTATATTTTGCAGCTAGTTTAGTTTGAATTTTAAATCTGACTTTCTTTCTTCCCAACTGTTGTTGTCTAGAGAGTGGCAGGTTAGGAAAAAGGATGGATTATCACAATGCTCAGGCAGAAATCAAATTACACAAATAAATTGTAATAAAGAATTCTGGAAAGAACACCGTACATAAATTCACATGAAACGCTTCATGAAATTGGTTCCTGAAAATGAAATTCAAATATAGACCAGGCTGCAGAAGACAAAATGCTGTTTTGTTCATGGGTGGATTAACCAGTAGCTAGGAGCGGGGGATTAGTACTAACTCCCCCCTCTTCTACGTGTGTTGTAATCTTGGGTAAATCTCTAAATCACAATTAAACTCAGCTTTTTCATCTCATGCAGCCATTAAAGGAAAGAAAAAAGAGATTTTTTATATATATATTCTAACTTTGGAATCTAAAGGAAAAAATGCAACATATTGCACAATGGTATTATGATGTTTGCATAGTTCAATCAATGTGATGTCAGCTCATATATTAACCAAGTATATTACAGAAATCTATCACTGCTATAAACATCTTTTGAGGAGATTTCTCCAGCACAGGAGAGAGTTCACATTCTGTCTACCCAACCTGTCATTGCTATTATCATTATAGGAAAAGACATTGTAAATTTCTATCAGTAAAATTGCAAATTCATTCTAGTGCAATGAGTAAGGGAAAAAGACAGAATTTTGTTTTGTATTGTTTTGTTTTTTAATGTTGACTCACTATTACTGTGACTCTTAGAAATATAGCCCATAGAAAATAATATGAGGAGAGACTGGCAGAATAGTAGCTGATAGCTGCCTCACCAGAGTGGAAAAAACAAAAGTGTGTGCTCTATGCCAGTAATTCAGCAATTTTACCCATCACTAATCTCATTTTTAATAAAACTTGAAAGGGTTGTGATGTATTAATGTTCTTTGCGCTTTTGTCAAACAGACAAAAGCAAAAGCAAAAATGTCAATGGATTCAAGGTTTGATAGAATAATCAGTTGTTTCTTTTAAGTGATGAGCATAATTTGCTGTTGATACATTTTATTTGTCTGGATTTGGACATATTCAAATTCAAACATGCTTTCTTTTGCCCTGAATTTTTTCTGAATTTAAAAAATATTTACCCTAAAAACTTTGGTATACTACCTGAGAACCCTTGGGTTTGAGCTTTAGGTAAAGGCTCTTCCATGCTCACAACACTCTTTTGAAAGCATGACTCAAAAATTATTTT